TTTTTAAAAATGCAGAATCTAGGGCTCATCCTAGAGATTGCAATTTAATGAATGTGGATGGGGCTGAGGAATATGCATTGAACAAGCATCCCAGGGGATTCTGGTGTAGGTGGTCCCCAGATATTATGCTGGGAAGAACTGCTATGTTGGATCCAGCAACACAATTAAGCCAGGTCAAAGTCAAACTCATACATTAACATTTATCAAGATACCTTTGAGAACATGTCCTGATGTTTCTGTGTAAACCCCTTTATCCCAGGGCATGAGCATGACAACATCATGCTAGGAGACACCTATGACCCCAGTGCATGCTTCACCGCAGGGAGAGGCACAGTAACTTTGATTGCATAATGTTACTCCACCCTGGCATTTATTGTTAGTCATAAAAATTGACAGCCAACTCCAACGTAGCCAGATCACTTGATCAGTATCCAGGGTAGTTAAACTCTTGCAATTGCCTTCTCTGTCCCCCAAAGGGCAAAAGCACAACTCCAGCTAGGGACCAGGCTATACTAGGCCAATATTTAAATGATCCAAGAGGCCATACAAAGGTTTCTGCATTGTTCTGAGAGTCCCCAAAAGCCACTGTGGCTGTTGAGATCAGCAGTTCCTTTGTCCTGTGGAGAAAGAGGAGGAGATGAGGTTTGCTAAACTCACTTTTGAAGTGGAAGAACCTGCAGAGTGCTGGAAGATTTATTCTTAAAGGATATTTGGCAACATCGTTGTTTCTATAACTCTCCAAACTATCCTCACACCCTCATCCTGAGGGTCTTAGCACCCAGAGGGTGTCCTGGGGCAGGCGCAGCACGGATACTTTTTGGCTTTAGCTACTTTAATCCCACCTTCATTCTCAGCAAATCTGCATAAGCCTCATTGAAGTTAGTCATGTGACCACTGGGGAGATTAGGTAAGGATCACCCGGACTAGCTGGTGAACAGAGAAATGGGCTGTGGCCTTGAAAAAAAGTAGGAGGCATATGTATGAAAGGACGAAGTCAGGGATTTTCTGTAATCCCCAAGCTGAGCCAAAAACTTAAGACAATTTGTGACATCTTCCTCTTGAGTGAGCACCATGTCATCCACATTTGCTGTTTTCAGTACATGGAGGGGGACATTCCATGGACGGCCATCTGCACAGCACCCCTGAGATTATCCAGCAAGATACTTACCTATCTCCAAGAATTGTCAAGCACCTGCCAAGCATTACAATGAAAGAAGCACCTTTCTATGTAGTAATGTAGAACAATATCCAAAATATACAGTTAGGGGTAAAGCAAAGTATATAATAGCTTATGTAGTAGGGTTCCATTTGTAAAAGAAAAGTATATACGCATGTGTATATATGCTGGTGTCATTAATTATTTACATACTAGAGGCCTAGTGAATGAAATTCATGCATGGAGGGGTTCCATTAGTCCAGCCTGCATTCTCTCCAATCAGGCACCCCTTGGGAGATGTCTGACTGCCAGTTTAGGCTCGATCCCATAGGGATTGGCAGTCAGACATCCCTCTCACAATCTAGGACTGCTGGCTCCTAACCACTCATCTGCCTGCCTGCCTGCCTGCCTGCCTGATCGCCCTTAACCATTCTGCCTGCCTGATTTCCCCAACCCCTCTGCTTGCCTGCCTGATTGCCTCTAACCTCTCTGCCTGCCTGCCTGATTGCCCCTAACTCCTCTGCATTGACCCCCACCACCATGGCTTTGTCCAGAAGGAAGTCCAAAGTCCAGAAGATGGCCAGTTGACCCAGTCTAATTATTAGTATATTACCCTTTTATTATAGTATAGATATACTATATAGGATAGTTTTCTTAAATGAGGGGGAGTCTTTTTCAGCAGGAGGAGATGCTCTTTGCAGACAAAAATGCATAATCTCTATATCTGAACTGATAGCCAGCCATATGCCAGGTATATTGCCAAACCAGTTATTAAAACATTGAACCACTTTCTTATACCTTACACCAAACAGCTGTTGCCCTTAAAACCCCTCCCCAGCCCCCACTTCAGGTTCTGCCTTCACAGTTCACCCAGATTAGGATCTGATTGGTTGGTTTCTATGCCCATCAGTGTCAAAAGCTCCACCTCCTAGGCAGCCATTGGCTCTTTTGGGAAATCCAGAAGGCCCTGCTAACAGCTGTCTCTCCTCTGGACCTATCTCCAGGCCTGATCTGCAGCCTCTCTCTTTTTCTCATATCCTGGCCAGCAACCTGCAGCGGCTGATGATCAGGCCCTGCCTCTATTCCTGGGCCTCGCTCTGGGCCTGATCCACAGCCACCATGCCTGCCTCACCACATCTATCTCCCCACCACCACCCTCTGCCTGTCTGCCACCAGCCTTTCTGTGATAGGAGCCTATGGGCTGTGGAGAAGAGACCAAGAAGTGCTCCATGCACTTCTTGGTGACCAGTCGTCCATCTGGTCATTTAGTTCATGATGGCCCTAGGCTATTATTAATATAGACTAGAGGCCCAGTGCACAAAATTCGAGCGTGGGGGGAGGGTCCTCTCAGCTCAGCCTGGACCCTCTCCAATCCAGAACCTCTCAGGGGATGACCTACTGCCAGTTTTGGCCCAATTCCTGGGATAGGGCCAAAACTGGCAGTTGGACATCCCTCTCACAATCCAGGACCACTGGCTCCTAACTGCTCACCTGCCTGCCTGCCTGATAGCCCCTAACTGCCACCCCCCCCACCATCCTGGTTGCTCCTTAGTGTCCTCCCTGCTAGCCTGTTTATCCCCAACTGCCCCCTACCACTGGCCTGATTGCCCTCAACTGTCCCTCCCCCTGCCAGCCTGGTCATCTACAACTGCCCCCCACAAGCCTGGTCACCGCATGCAGCCTGCTGGTCAGTCATTTGGTTGTCTCTCACTAACCCCCTGCCTACCTGGTCACCCCATGCAGCCTGCTGTTTGGTTGTTACTATGAGGGCGTCATGACCTATATGCATATTACCCTTTTATTAGAATAGATTTATATGTGTAAATAATATCTCTGCCCAGCTGGCATGACTCAGTGGCTGAGCATTGACCTATGAACCAGGTAGTCATAATTAGATTCCCAGTTAGGACATATGCCAGGGTTGCAGGCTCAGTTACCAGTGTGGGGCATACAGGAGACAACCTACCAATGATTCTCTTTCATCATTGATGTTTCTATCTCTCTCCCTTCCTCTCTGAAATCAATAAAAATATATATATATTTAAAATAATAATAATATCTCTGAAAGCTAAGTGAAACCAGTGAATAGAGCAGGTAAGGGATAGAGTGGTTGAACTCTCTTATTCCTTTTGAACACTTTTACCATATGTATATGTTACATATTCCAGAAATTGAATAAAATAACACAAATAAATATTCACACATGCAAAAAAAATTACTTTTAGATAAGTTGCCTGCAGATTCCTTCACACATATACAAAAGGGGGAAATGAAATATTATTTACAACAGTAAAAAACTAGAAACAACCCTAACCAGTTTGGCTCAGTGGATAGAGCATCGGCCTGTGGACTCAAGGGTCCCAGATTTGATTCCGGTCAAAGGTATGTACCTTGGTTGGAGGCACATACTCAGTAGGGAGTGTGCAGGAGTCAGCTGATTGATGTTTCTCTCTCATCAATGTTTCTTACTCTTTATCCCTCTCCCTTCCTCTCTGTAAAAAATAAATAAAATATTTTAAAAAATTGAAACAATCCAAATCTTCATCAACAAGGGAATAAGTATGTAAAATATGGAATACCATATAACAGAAAGAGCAAGTAGAGATGATAGATAGATCTATCATAGAATAAAGTTAAAGAAAATTAATTAGATTCATCAGTATATAAACATGGAGCGACAAATATGTTAAGTATTAAAAGCAAAGTATACAATATACCAGAGGCCCAGTGCATGAGGTTCATGAACTCAGGGGGTTCCTCAGCCCGGCCTGCGCCCTCTCAAAGCCCAGAAGCCCTTGGGGGATGTCCGACCAGGCCCAAGCCATTAGTTGGACATCCGAACACTGCCGCAGAGGAAAGAGAGGCTCCTGCCTCCACTGCTGCATTTGCCAGCCCTGAGCCTGGTTTCTGGCGGAGCAGTGCTCCCCCTGTGGGAGTGCACTGACCACCAGGGGGCAGCCCCTGTGTTGAGCGACTGGCCCCTGGTAGTCAGTGTGCATCATAGCGACTAGTCATTCTGCTGTTCAGTAAATTTTCATATTAGGGTTTTATTATTATATATAGGATGTCTAGCATGCGATTTAACATACTAAGTCAAAATACAAAAATAGGCCAGAAGGATACCAAACTCAAACTGTAAAACTAACTGGGGGAAGCAGAGTGTTGCTGTAATATTTTATTTCTTAAAAACAACTACCAGAAAAGATAGAAAGTAAAATGACAAAATGTTCAAAGTTTGAATTCTGGCTAACAGGCATATAAGTGTTTGTTGCTTTATTCTTTGTTTTTCTCTATATTTTAAACAGTCCTAGTAATGTAAATAGATGTAAAATACAATTATTCAGCCATGGTTCTTTACTTTCTTTTTTTTTAATATATTTTATTGATTTTGTACAGAGAGGAAAGGAGAGAGATAGTTAGAAACATTGATGAGAGAGAGTCATCGATCAGCTGCCTCTTGCACACCCCCTAATGGGGATATGCCCACAACCAAGGCACAGGCCCCTGACCTGAATCGAACTCGGGACCCCTCAGTCCCCAAGCCAACGTTCTATCCATTGAGCCAAACCGGTCTCGGCAGTTCTTTACTTTCTTTATAAAGAATTTTTTTTACTTTAGAAAGTTGAGTAAATTCTAAACATTCCATCTTGATAAAAAAATAAAACTTGTGTAAGAGGTTTTTGGGGAACTCTTGCTGGGGCTTCAAATTTCCACTCCTCAGATGCAGCAGGATGGAACCATCCATTGTGAGAGAAGGCAGGGAGTGTGACTCCTGCTAAGGCATGACTCCTGGGGCACACCCACTATTCACCCTCAGTCCCTCCTTCTTCTGAATTCCTGTTGGCTGTTCTGTTGAGGAAGCAGGAAGACTTGTCTCAAGGGATCCTCATTTCCCTGGTGCCTTTTGCTCTTTGGGAAAAATAAAGCATTCTGTAGGCGGAGCTTGTGAACAACATCTTCTTTAAAAACAGGAGTCCCCAGGCTTACCTGACCATTTCAGTTCCAGTATCCTACCTGGCAAAGAAGCAATTAGCCAAAATGATGCCTGGAGGTTTAACTGAAGCCAAACCTGCCACTCCAGAAGTTCAGGAGATTGCTGATGAGGTGAGTTGATGTAACCCATGGAGAAAGGTTTGATCCAAAATCTTAGTTCCTAGGTTGGCCATGGGTGATGTGGGATAACTTGAAAATCAGAACATTCCTGGGAAATGTATAGTTTTGATCAGGCTTTTTTTTTTTTTCTTTCCAACTAAAAGTCTTTTTAGATGAAACCTCTGATAACCCCAATTGTGAGAATGATCTGGAGAAAGCCATGTGCCTTCTCCAGGACTCAGTTTCCTCATTTGTAAAAGAATCATTTTTTATTGGATGATCCCTGAAGCTTTTACAATGTATGTTCCTAGGATTTCTAACTGATGAAACTTTTTTCATCTCACCGAGTGAAGTCAACGTGTAATTAAAGTCTGAGGTTATTAACAATTTGACAAACTAGACTTCAAACTCACTGCAGAGAAATGTTTTCAAATGGTTGAATAGAGAACAACCTTGCAAAGGCAATCCACTTACTAATTTCCTACACACTTGGCCAAGTAGACAATGTTTTAGTCTTAGTATTTAGAAGATGATTAACTATTGAGATAGTAGAAAAGAGAAGTGGAATAGTCTATGGTGATTCTGAAATTGATCGTGGTGAAAACAGAGCTCTAAATGCTTTTTAGCAAGTTGATATGTTGTTTCTTTTCTAAGTGCTGTTTGATTAGCTATCCCTCCTATAATAAAAGTGATTATATTGCATATTTTATGAAAAGAATAATATATAAATTTTATATTTATTTTAGGTTTGTACCATTTTCTATTTTCTTGTATCATTCTTTCTTCCTTTTCCTCTCCAAAGCTTCATTCTATGACACTGTTGGGCCAACAAGATCAGCTTCTTGTGTAAGTGGAAGAGATGAGATCCCCTATGTTAGAGCCCTGGAAAGCTCCCTAAGAGATCCGATGCCTGGAATTCTACCATACATTCTTTGGGGCTCCATATTTCTCTTCTAAGAGTCCTTTAGAAAAACCAGTACCGTGGAGCTTTCTTTTTCTTGGAGATGATAATGTTAAGTCATCAATAATTTCACTTGAATCCCTGTATCAGGTCAGGATTCTCAAACTTGGGCACATGAATCGCCTTGGGGGCTTGTTAAAATGAGATTCTGACTCAAGTAATTCTGGGATGGGCTTGATATTCTGCATTTACAATGAGCTCCCTGGTGAGGCCCATGCTGCTGCCCATGGCTTCACTGGCCAGCAGGACCGGAGATCCATAGTATCCTAAGAGACCTATGAGAGATGGCCTTTCTAAATGCAAAGTGCTGCCCAAACCTTCTCAGTGTCATTTGTGAGAGGAAGATAACATCTTTTGTCGTGCCAATCTCAGAGCTGTAAGGACTAATTGAGATAACTTGCATAAAAATTACTTGGAAAACAAGAAATAAATAGCATAGGTGAGGCATCACAATTACTTACTTCAATTTTTTTGCTGAAATCAGCCCTGACCCTAGGAAATCCCTATGAGACTCTTCAAGGATCAGAACTGTAAGGGGTTGGAAGATAATAGAGATTTAAAATATAGAAGGTGCAGAAGATTTTAATGTTAATGATTTTTAAATTTTTATTTATTTTTAAAATATATTTTTCTTGATTTCAGAAAGGAAAGGAGAGGGAGAGAGATATATAAACATCAGTGCTGACAGAGAATCATTGATTGGCTGCCTCCTGCATGCCCCACACTGGAGATTGAGCCTATAACCTGGGCATGTGCCCTAACAGGGAATCAAACCATGGCCTCTTGGTTCATAGGTCTATGCTCAATCACATGGCAATTTTAATGATTTTTCAAAGCCTGTCTTGGTTAGCAGCAATTAAAAAAAAAAAAAAAAAAGGAGAAGATATTAGAAAACTTTATGGTTAATAACACCCATCTGGTGCTGGATTCGGCAGTACATAGACTAAAGTTGGAACGATACAGTAAATATTAGCATGGTCCCTGCACAAGGATGACATGCAAAATTGTGAAGCATTCCATATTTTTTTAAGAAAAAAAGATAACATCCATCTGTAAGCCAAACCTTAAATTATAAACTTAATTTCAAAGTGTGTTTCTTACTGCACATCTCAGGCTCCAATCTTGTCAGAGAGTAGAATAAGGGAGGGGTATTTACAGTAGCTACATCACCCCAGAAAGGTACTTTGCAGTTTTTGTTTTGTTGTTGTTTTTAATATATGTTTATTGATTTCAGAAGGGAGGGGGTGGAGGAGGGAGGAGAGAGAGAGAGAGAGAGAGAGAGAGAGAGAGAGAGAGAGGTCAATGATGAGAGAGAATCACTGGTGGGCTGCCTCCTGCACACGCCCCATGGGAGATCGAGTCCACAACCCCGGCAGGTGCCCTTGATCGGAATCAAATCCTGGACCCTTCAGTCCCCAGGCACACACTCTATCCACTGGGCCAAACCAGCCAAGGCAGTACTTTGCAAATTTAAAAGCTTTCTCCTCCTTTCAACCTCTCATTAGATCTTTATAACCTCTGGGGCAGGGAGGAAAGGCATCATGCCCATTTTTCAGAAGACAAAGCTGAGATTCAAAAATGTTAATAACCACCTAGTGAAGAAGCCAGCCTATCTCCAGATATCTGACCACCTGCCTTTTCTACCCTACAGTGGCAGGAGCATGGAGAAGTACAGGGGGTGAGGCAAATATCCTGGGAGATAGCATGTGGCAAATCTGCTTCTCTGTGCAAGCAGCAGGCCTCAGATTTAAATCAATATGAGAAAAGGGTATCAATGATTCTTTTCTTAAATGTCTCTTCTGTGTTAGCACTATATTGTATATTATAGAAGGTACAGAAGGACTGTAAGGCATGGCTCCTGCCCTCAAGGAGTTTCCATCCATTTAGGGAACATATAATAATAACACATAAAATAATCTCCAGTTAAGTACATTTTTTATAATCATAGGCTTTGGACCAGAAACGACATTAGAGATTGCTTGTCAAACCTCCTTACTTTCAGGTGGATAATTACTGTGTGGTAATGTAGTTCAACTTTTCAGGTGTTAAACTTCCAATTATCATTTATCTTCCCTCGCACAGAGGAACCTTAGGGAACGATTTCTGATTAAGTGTTGGAAGATAGAGGAATAGTCCATTCAGAAGCACTTTACAGTTTAGGAAGCACTTTCACACCAATTATATCATTTGTTCCCCCACAAGCAACCCCAAGAGGCAGATGTTACTATAACCACTTTTAAGTTAGTAAGTACAATCAACACCACCAAGATAATAGAATTAGTTAGGTAAGTCCCCCGGCAGGGTCAGGCAAACCACATACCTAGTATGATTTGAGGGAGTCCCAATCATTTACCTTATAGGTTTCTTTGATTTTTTTTTAATGTATTTTTATTTTGAAAAAATCACCTGTTAAAATGCAGGTGTTCTTGAGGGAGCTGTTGATCAGGTTTCCCTGTTCTTACTATTGGGTCGGCAACTAAGTACTTGCGGATTTTTAAAAAATCAAAGACAACTTTTTCATGGAACTAAATAACTTTATTCTGTAATGTATTGCCCATTTTGATCAATGACCTTTTGCCATCTTTCAGGCAGCATCATAATCCCACGTTAAAAAAAACTTCTGGTTTTTATTAGCAAAAAACTGAATCAGGTACGATTTGACATCATCATCATTATTGAAATTTTTACCATTCAAGGAGTTTTGTAAAGATCGAAACAAAAAGTAATCAGATGGTGCAAGGTCAGGACTATATGGTGGATGTGGCAAAACATCCCAACCAAGCTCCATTAATTTTTGCCGAGTGACCAAAGATGTGTATGGCCTTGCATTGTCATGATGGAATACAACACCTTTTCGATTTGTCAATTCGGGCCGCTTTTCTTCAACTGCATTGTTTAATTTCGTTAGTTGTTCAATGTAGACATCAGAATTGATCGTTCGGTTGGGTGGTAAGAGTTCAAAGTAGACAATTCCTTTGTAATCCCACCAAACTGATAACAAAACCTTCTTTTGATGAATATCAGCTTTTGATGTTGTTTGAGTTGGTTCACCTGGCCTGCTCCACGATCTTTTCCGCTTGATATTGTTGTAAACAACCCATTTTTCATCGCCAGTTATCAGTCGTTTTAAAAATGGATCATTTTCATTACGTTTCTTTAGCAAATCGCAGCTGCTAATGCGCAGTTGTGTTAACTGTGATTCTTTCAGTTCGTGAGGAACCCATGTATCGAGTTTTTGAACATAGCCAAGTTGTTTTAAGTGATTTTCAATGCATGTATGTGATACATGAAGCTTCTCTGCAATCTCACGTGTTGTACTGTGACAGTCCGAATTGATTATTGCTTTGATTAGGGCGTCATCAACTTCAACTGGACGACCAGAGCGTTTTTCATCTTTGAGTGAAAAATCACCAGAACGAAATTTGGCAAACCAATTTTGACACTGCCGTTCTTTTAAGGCTTCGTCACCATAAACAGCACATAACTTTTTATGAGCTTGCGATGCGTTTTTCCCTTTGCGGAAATAAAAAAGCAAAATATGACGAAAATGTTCCTTTTGATTTTCCATTTTTCAACGAATGCCAAACGAAAACTACAAAACAGATCAAAAAACTTTTTTTACTGATTAACAGCTGAATAGCCAACTATTAAATAACAAAATGTGTTTTACATTTGTACTACGTCTGCAAATCTAAAAATTCAACTGAAGCCATATATGTGTGAAACCCGCAATTACTTAGTTGCCGACCCAATAGAGAGCTTCTTAGTGGAATGCCAACTGAAGGAAGAACCCCATTGGTGAGGTTAGGGAGGGAAAAAGAGGGGGAAGGTCATCTCATAGAGAAGGGAAAGCATCAAAAAATAAATGAGCCCTAGCCAGTTTGGATAGAGCATCAGCCTGTGGACCAAAGGGTTCTGGGTTCGACTCCAATCAAGACCACATACCTTGATTGCAGTCTCCTTCCTGGCTCAAGCCCTGGTCTGGGCTCACTCAGAAGGCAACCAATCTATGTTTTTCTCTCACATCAATGTTTCTCTCTGTCTTTCCCTTTTTCTTCCACTCTCCCTAAAAGTCAATGGAAAAATATCTTCAGGTGAGGATTAACAAAAATAAATAAATACATAAATACATAAATAAATGCATAAAATAAAATAAAAAATAAGTGATAACTGTATATTCAAGGAATTTGATATCACAATGAAAGAGGGATGTTAGATGAGGTAAAAAACGATTAAACAAAGAGTTTGGGGTTCAGAAGATGAGCATTTTTTGAAGGGAGAAGAAAAGAGTGTCTTCATTCTGAAGATAACAGAGACTGGATAGTCAGTGCAGAATCATCACCAAAGAGTTTTAAGGGTACTTGGGACCAGAGTATACCTGAAAGGAACCTTCTCTTCCAAGATTCTCTATATTACTTGAGCACCTTGGCTGCACCCTTCTTCTATCCTCTTTTTTTATTTTTGAAGACAAGTTGTCACAAAATAACAAACCTAGTCTCATCATTCAGAAAACATTGATTATGTACACAGTACTGTGTGAATTGCTATGGGGAGAGAAGAGGTTTAGAGGATATAAAAATAGTCCTCCCTCAGGAAATTTACAAAATAGATTGGAAATAAGAGATAAACACAGGAAATAAAGAGCATACATACCTCACCTATGAAAAGCCATAATACAGGGTGGGACAAAAGTAGGTTTAGAGCTGTGAGTAGGTGAAAGAGTTTATTCTTGTATTATGATTTATGTACTATTATGTTTTTCACACAAACAACTGTACACCTACTTTTGCCTCACCCTATAATTAAGGACCAAATGAATAACAACTTGTGCACCATTATCTTATTAAAACCACTGAGTAAAAAATAGGAAAATGTTTATGGACAGGAAAGAAATGTTATTTCAATAATTATTTTTAGAAATAAGAGCTATTATTACACCTGCATGGGCACATACACATAAAACACACACACACACACACACACACACACACACCCCTAAGTCAACCTGATTACTGAATACCATTTCTGAAATACACACTGATCATGATTTCTGTCTGCCAGGACACTACACAAACACCTCATCTGCATACCATATGGACACACCCCAGGGCTTAGCATGTCATGGCACTCACTCACACACAAATTTGTGTTCTACTCTGTCTATAGCCTCCCATCAATCACCTCTCCCACTGCCCCACACCCAGAGAACATGCCATTCAGCCACCTACATCAGAACACACAGAGGCCCACCAGATCACTCACCCAGCCTGGACCTACGTGGGTGGTTCCATCCTCTCCACCCTGGTTTCCATGACCCGGTGAGCCTGTAGCATTCCAATCCTCAATTAAAGACCACTCCTACTGCCACCACTTCCTCCTAAGCTTCTACTCCAGGTTCAGGAAACTTTGCTCAAGTAAGATGCAAAATCACAGAAAACTGAGGACATGTATGGGAGTGGAGTGGGGTGGGGGAGGGGGGGGCAAATGGGAGGATGGACACATAATACCTTGATCAATAAAAAAAATTTTTTAACAGAATAAAACACAGAAAGCTCACCCATTATAAATCTCTGAATTCATGCCAACAAACAACCACTACAGAACTTTGGGGCTGCCAGAACATTATCTTTGTCACATCTTGTTGGTTCTTTTCCAGAAACACCACAGAGATGGAGTTGAACCTTATGTCTCCTCAGTTCCTCAACCCCTCCCATCACCTTGGCCCCTCCAGCTGGTGTCTCAGTTCCTCTCTTAGAAGATCGCAGTCATACTGTGTAAGAACACCCCAATTTGCTTAGTCACTGCTGATCTCACTCCTCCATCCAATCTCAGACTGTGTCCTCCTTTCTTAAGCCCTCCTCTCTTATGTCACACGCCATCACTTCTTATACACCAGGTGCCATGCCCCAGAATTCCCCCTTCCCTCAAAACATAGACAACAAATGCCCACAAGTCACCTCTCACCAGCCCTTCTGTACTTTCACACTGCTACCTAAACGCCCCTTCCTTACTCTCTAAAACTTCCCCAAATATGGCCTATCCATGTTGCCACCATTACCTTTCCATCCATTCTTTCCTAAACCATGCGTAATTCATACGATTCTGCAGAATGATTGTAGGTAAGATAAACTCCTGGGTGTTGGGTGCAGTGTGGCTGGAAACCTCAGATGCCAGGAAACTAACAAGGTGCCAAGGTCCATGCTCTGCAGCAGTAAGAAATGCTGAACAGCCCGGGGGAGATGTGTTTCACCAGATCTCCTCCCTGGCAGCATCCTTCCCCCAGTGCGGGCATGAGCAGTACACCTGCACTGTTTCTTCCAGTGTCTCGGCCACCACCACGCGTGGTGAGCTGAGCAGGGTGAACACCAACCGTGTCCAGCTCAAGGTCTGTCAGTTTTCCACCAGATCCTGACCACTACTCCTGTTACTCGGGCTACCTGTAGCTGTGTCCAATAACAAAGGCAGGGTTGAATCCTGTATGGTGTTTATTGAGGAGGCCAGCCAACCAAGAATACAGGAAACTTGCAAACATCCAAAACCTGTCTTACAGCAAAGTCTAGGGGACAGGATTACAAAGGAGAAGGGGCTAGGTTGAGTCTGGGAGCACCTGGAGGTCCACAGAATTCAGCTATTGTTCTTGGTCTTCAGACAATGAGATGATGGCTTGACCATGCTAAGTGGTTCTGCTTGCTTGCTGGGTACATTGTACTTTGTCCTCAGCCCAGTTACCTCCTCGATCACTTTACCCGGGATCAAAGGGAGTGCGCCGTAAGAAATGGAACTTAGAAAAACTTAACCCTCTGTTCCCATATAAGAAAGGTAACCCTCTGATCACATAAGTATAAGTATTCTAGGATTTAAAGTTAATATGATTATTTTTTCAGATTAATTCAGGTGCTCTATCAGATTATAGGATTCTCCCCTCTTCCTCTCCCCAATGCCCCAACTTCACTCCCAGCTGGCATTAACCTCTTAGCACCCATTCTGGGGGCCTCTCAGCACCAAGTTGCTTTCTGAAACAGGTTTCACTGAGCAGCTTCTTCCTACTCTCCCCCTTTTCCTGTCCCTCAGCTTCAATCTCATCACCCCAGGTTCACAGCATCCAACACTAGAGCATACAAATCTGTTTTACTGGAAACAGGGAGTACGGCTACAGGGAATAAGTGAGTAGCTCCTCCATACCCTCAGGCTTCGCTTCTGCGAATTCAACCACCCCCAGATCAAAAATATTTTGGAAAAATAATCCCAGAAAGTTCCAAGAAGCAAAACTTGGATTCGCCACTTGCCAAGCTCTATGGCGAAAACACAGGAATGAAGCACGTGTTAACCTATAGGCAAACACGGGCTGAGTGCAAATACTGCACTACGCTGTCTTACATAAGGAACTTGAGCATCTGCAGATTTGGGCGTTTACAGGAGGTCCTGGAACCAATGCTCCTCGGATTCTGAGGGACGGGTGTACTGGGAACCTAGAATCGGGGCTCACACTGGGCTAGGAGCCAGGTCACTAGCAGAAGGAAAGCAGGACCATCAAAATCAGCTCTCATGGAAAACTCTGGACTTACAGACTGCAGTGATACAACAGAAAGGTTACAGGTTTACATATGACAGGTACAAATAAAAACTACCGATACGTGATAAATACACGACCTGTAGCTATGTCCAATAACGAAGACCAGAAACCAGAAGGAGGACAGAGAGCTGCAAAAAATAAATCAGATACTTAAGTTGTTAAGTGAGGAACTTTAAGTAACTATAATTAGTATTTTATCAGCCTTAAGCAGTCATCTTCTCACAATGTCCGGTTCTTTGTAAAAGAGGTTTAAATAGATAATTTTGAGTTTTACGTAGAGATTAACCCTTTCCAGCTCTTTCTAATGTGACTGGTACACAGTGTTGGCTGAAAAGGGTTAGGACAGGACAGCAGACAGTAACCCCTTTTCTTACTCAACTTCTCTCTCCACTCTTGCCCATTGTTCTCCTCTCTCTCCTGCACCCACCTCTTCCCGTTTCTGGTTTTTGTTTTTTTGTTTTCTCACTCTTTGTCGTCTTTCTTTTTCCATTGGAAGCTTCTTTTATCCTTCGCAGGATTACTGGAGAAATGAGTGGTAGGTAGTCCACGAATGGTTTAGCCCTCAAAAGTGGTCTGATAATGCCTCGTTTGCAAATGTCTTCATCTTTGAAAACGGCTCTGGTGGCCAAACTGAGGCAACAATAGAAAAGTATTCAAAACACTTAGCCACTGATGGGAAGGCCTGGATGGCCTCGAGAGGACCCCAGATGTACTGGAGGCCTGACCAGAGCTGTGTACGCACATTAAATGCCTTGGGGAAGGGCAGGGAAGCAGGGACCCAGGAAACAAGGCAGAGCAAGTAAACCATTTATTTCCCTGTAAATACTAGGAAAGGATTGAGGTAAAAGGGACACAATCATACAAATATAAAGAAAACAGAAGATAGATAAGGGCCGCCTTAGAGATGCCGACAAAACTTTGGAAGTTGAAAACAGATGAACATTGGAAAATGACTGAGCCATCGAGACAGAGCCTAAGGCACAGAGGGGACCATCTGAGCTAGAAGCAAGCAGACTCATAGGCAGAACTCCCAACTACCTCAAGCACCAGACACTGACTAAGGGAGTGCTGGTGTGGGGCTAAAGCCGAGAGGATTGCTCAGAGATCTGTATGAGGAGCAGTTAGACTCCTCTCTCACTGTCCTCCATCCGACAAGACAGGCTACTTCCTGTCCTCCAGCCCGGCCTCTGCTGGAACTTCACTGTTAGCAGACACTGAGTCAGAGAGACCATGGCGGACGCTAGCATAGGAGGCCCAGCTGAGAGCAGGAATGAAGGACCTACACTGAAAACTTGAATTCGGTAAACGTTTCCATATAGGATTTGAGACTCTTGCTCCCTTCTCTGGTTTGGTTCAGGAATTCTGGCATCTAATTCTAAGCTTATATTCCTCTATGGTAGGCAGAATGATGGCCATCACATTTCTGAATCTTGTAAATATGTTACCTTACATGGCAAAGGGACTTGTAGGTGTGATTATATTAAGGATCTTGAGATACTATGTTTGCAATTTTGAGTCGGGATTTTTTTTTTTAATGAAGTCATAATTATTGCTCTCCCTTTTTTATTAATCAAAGGCATATATAACTATTAGAGTTTTGCCAGTCAAAACATTACCATATTACCTTATTACCATATCTCCACATTGAGTTGATGAACATGCAACCTAAAGCAACAAAATTTGATCTTTCAGTTAGTTCATACATATCTTCCTTTTTTGAAAATAGGAAAGTAGCTCATAGATCTCACTGTCATCATTTAGGTACTTGAGATCTAAGATGTGTAAATCACATAAATGAAGCCCAACATGGTTTGTTTTTAAAAATATATATTTTATTGATTTTTTTACAGAGAGGAAGGGAGAGGATAGAGAGTTAGAAACATCGATGAGAGAGAAACATCCATCTGGTGCCTCCTGCACACCCACTACTGGGGATGTGCCCACAATCAAGGTACATGCCCTTGACCGGAATCAAACCTGGCAGTTTTCAGTCCACAGGCCAGCGCTCTATCCACTGAGCCACACAGGTTTGGGCTCAACATAGTTTTGATGATGTGTTTCTTCTTTTCTTTTCTTTTCTTAAGGTTAAGCCGCAGCTTGAAGAACAAACAAATGAGACTTATGAAGAATTTGAAGCTGTAGAATACAAAACCCAAGTGGTTGCTGGAATAAATTACTACATCAAGGTTAGAGTTTAACATCCACTTTGGCACTAAAGGACATTGTATTTCTCACTTTATGTGAAGCTCCCTGTCACCTCTAATGTATTATCTGGTCCTTTTCCTTGTCCTAAATCAAGATGCCCACCTACCATACTTCCTAAGTAATAAACTCTCAAATTTAAAAGCTGAAGGTACAATTATTCCTTTTTTTGTTGTTAATTTAGAAAGCCTTCTTATATTGATTCTTAACTTAGTTTCCACAAGTCGTGTGGAAAAGGATCTCATAAAGTGCAGGTCCTGTTTAGCTGTGGCGATGACTACTTCATATGTGAAGAGGGAGCCTGAAGGCCTGATGGGGCCAGGTGCTCTGGTGAAGCTTGCTCCACCGCAAAGCATTGTGGTTCTGTGTGTCCTCAATTAAGGGGACTAAGGAACGACTGGAATCACTAGCTGGGGAAATAATTTAAAGCACCTTTTCCCTATTTGCATTTTGATTAATAAATTTAAATAATCTTCACAACTCAAATAAATGGACTCTATTTTAAATAACTTAAATGAATAGATTAAACTTTTGGCACTGAAGGTTTAGTTTAAAGCAGTGGAACATTAAAAAAATAAAAATTTAAAATTAATTTCAGAGAGGAAAGAGGAAGGAGAGGGAAATAGAAACATCAGTGATGAGAGAGAAACATTGGTTGGCTTCCTCCTACATGCCCCATACTGGGGATTGAGCCTGAAACCTGGACATGTGCCTCACCGGGAATCAAACCCTGATCTCCTGGTCACTCAACCACTGAGCCATGCCAGCTGGGCCATTAAAATAATTTTTTTATTAAATACATCTATATCATGAAGTAAATGATTTATTGATCAGGTTCCAACTGAAGAAAAAACTTGTATAGATACTGGAGAGGAAACCAATTCAACAAGTCAACCATAGATATTTGGGAGCCATTTTTGCCCTTTTGTATTGAGGAGATGATAATTCTGATTTAATAAATAATGACATCCCTAGCCAGTTTTGCTCAGTGGATAGAACATCAGTCTACTGACTGAAGGGTCCCAGGTTAGATTCTGGTCAAGGGCACGTGCCTGGGTTGTGCACTCAATCCCCAGTGGGGGCGTGCAGGAGCAACTGATCAATGATTCTCTCTCATCCTTGATGTTTCTATCTCTCTCTCCTTCTCCCTTCCTCTCTGAAATCAATAAAAATATTTTAATGGAAAAATAATGACAGACATTCAAACGTATTTACTTCATCTTTACTAAATTATTTGACCAGGGCACAGTGTGGCTTACTTCTATTTAACAAACAACTACTTAAAATATAAAAAATTTTAAAAATGTGTTTAGCAATGGAAATAGCATAAGTGCTATTAACCAGCTCAGCATGAGAAAATCACAGTACTGGTTCATGTAACTGGATTAGCCCAGTTCTACCAAATTTGAAATCCTGAAATATGCCAGGCCCAGGGGTTGAGCACAGGAATGAGGGCCTGCTTTCTTCATAGCTGGAAAAGAATGCTTTCCAAGGAAAAGGTGATTTTATTCAATAAGAAACATTTCCTCCAAATTGGGATCATTAATACTTTTTAATTAATCTAAGTGCATAACTTTCACATATTAATTAGCTCATGTATTTCTTTAAAAAACTCATCAGAAAACTATCTTGAAATTTTTCTCCCTTAAGTTACGTGCCAAAAAAAAAAATCAAGAAAAAGATCACCTGTCCAGTCTTAACCAGAGTCTCTTCTCTTCCCTTCCCTTTTCTTTCCCTATCCTTTTTCCTTCCCTCCTCCTTCCTTCTGCTATCAAATTTCTCCTATTGGATTATAGCTACTGACCTCAATTTCCTCAGACTTCCTGACAGTCTAGCTGTTAATACCTTTGCTCTGAGCCACTCTCTTGATTTAAGGTTTTGCTGTTGATGTGACCTTCTCTGCTCTTTCTCAAGTACCCATCCAGAGGCAGGTGGTTTATACTTGCTATTTTTATTTTATTTTTTATTTTCTTTATTGATTTAGGTATTACATATGTGCCCTTATTCCCCAATACTTATTATTTTGCCTATTGTATTGGATGGAGACTCAGCTACCAAGTCAAATAGGGCCAGTGAATTCTGATATTCTTGTATGAATGCCAGTTTAATGGGGATTATAAAATTTTGTCATTCAGTAAGATATTTGAAGTAGAGTTTTAATTTAATCACATTTTCTAAATGTTACAATAATTGTTATATTTTATTAAATTCATTTTCTATTAAAAAAAGAAAAAGGTGAGTGATAAGAATGAATTATTGTGAGGTTAGTCCTGGGTTAGAAGCCTTGCATAACTTGTTCTATTAGTCAAAACCTGTGTGATTGCAGCTGCTCATCTTCTCTGAGCCTTCATTCCCTTATCTGCACAAAGCAGATAATAACCTACCTTTGCAGAGTTTTGTGTGGTAAATGAACCAAAAGTTTACTGAGCATGTAGAATGTACCAGGCATGTTCCAAGAGCTGGGCTTGTATTATCTCATCTAATCCTCTCAACAAATATATTGGATAAGTATGACTATTTTTCTTGTGTTACTGATGAGACAATTGAACCCTGGGAAAGTGAAGTAACTAACAATAAAAGCAGAACTCAGCCCTAGCCATCCATTTTGACTCAGTCGATTGTGCATCAGCCTGCAGAATGTTCAATTCCAATCAAGGGCTCAGCCGGTGTTGCAGGCTTGATCCCCAGTAGGGGACATAGAGGAGCCAGCCGATCAATGTCTCTCTCTAATCATTCATGTTTCTATCTCTCTCTCTCTCTTCCTCTCCCTTCCTCTCTGAAATCAATTTAAAAAAAAAAAAAAAAAAAAAAAAAAAAAAAAAAAGCATAACCCAGGGAGTCTGATGTTTAACTATTGCCTCTAATAGTAAATGCCAAGGACAATTCTGGGTTTCTTCCCCCTTCTTAAATCATGTGGCAAATAAAATGTTCCAATTTGGGAGTCAGAATCACCAAAAAGGTTGAAACTTGTTTTTTGGGGGGTTTTTTGTTTGTTTGTTTGTTTTTGTTTTTTGTTTTTTTGCTATGTGCATCTTTGAAAATGAAATGCAAATATAAAATAAAACACACCTTAGGGCCTAAGCCTCTTGTCATGCCTTTAACCTGCCCGTTCTCTCATAAATTAAGGTGACAGGCTTATGAAAGCGAGGGGTCTAAGAATGCTATTCCAGAAAAGCCATTGCAGTGAGGTCTTGAGAGGCCTATAGATTCTCACTTGTCATAGATCCATGCAAAATAAATCTCCTTTCCCCCCTTTTTTATCTTTCAGGTGCGGGTAGGTCAAGATAGTTACATTCACATAAAAATATTCAAACCTCTTCCTCAACAGCAGCAGTCTTTGAAACTCACTGGCTACCAGACAGACAAAAGCAAGGATGATGAGCTGACGGGCTTTTAGCAGAACATTCAAAAAGCCATTGGATTTCTTCCATTAATGATGGAATTGCTAATAATTGTTAAAGAAACTTTCCTTTTGAAATAAATTAATCCTTTCAATTCCCTGACTATTGCATTAAATAGTAATTATCTTTTCTTTCTGAAAATCAATGTTATTCCATTAGAGCAAAAATTCCATACAGGAGAAGCCAAGATGGCAGCATAGGTAAATGCCTAACTGCAGCCTCAGACAATTTCAAAAAAATACAACTAAAATATAAATTGGACATTATCCAGAACTACAGGAAAATTGACTGACTGGAAATTCTACAACTAGAAGGAAAGAGAAAACCAGAAGGAAAATCAGAGGCGCTGTAAAAGTCTAAGGTACAGAGACACAGTGCACGCGTGGGGAGAGGACGAAGCCGGAGAGGAGGGGGAGGCTGAGGGCCTGGATGGCGTTCCCTAGTGGGAAGAAGATAAAAGCTCCAGACTGTGCTGAACCACAGTTCCGACAGCACTGAACCCCAGTTCTGGGCAAGACCCTGGGGACCCAGGTTCATACAGAGGGAATCTAGGCTGTAAGGCAGAAAGGGGAGCGGTGACAGGCAGTCCAGGAGGCACACTCGTTGTGCGCAGAGGACAGACTGTTGACTGTGCCGTGGGATTGCCCTAGTGGGAAGGAGACAAAAGCTCTGGACTGCTCTGAACCCCACTTCCAACTGCACTGAATCCCAGTTCCAGGCTCAGTAGGGGAGTGACTAGACTGTCTGGTAGCGGGCAAAACTCGAAGGCACCTTTCTCTCAGAGGTGCTTGCAGTGAGTACCGAAGGACACTGAGGAACACTGAGACTCAGGTACCTCATAGTGCAGGGCTGAGGGAAACCAAAGCTGTAGGCTCCACCCTCAAACTCTGCCCCATCCAAGTTGAGCACTTTTGCAATTTTCCAAGTCTAGTCGAATAAGGCTGTCTCCCGGCATAGACACAACTGATCCTCACAGACAATTGGCCTGGAGGCCAGTTCCTCCCAGTGATACCAACAACAATCAAGACTTAACTACAACAAGGCTGTACACACAATCCACAAAGGGGTGTACCAAGAGTGTCCACCTCAGGTAACTGGACGGCTGACCCACTGAAGCATATAGGACACCTTAGCACACAAAGCCACCCTACCAACTCAGGAAAGCAGTAAAAATGCTGAGACAAGCAAACAGATCACAAACAAAAAAACAAAGGACAAAAAGTGACTGGATATAGAGTTCAAAACCAAGCTTATGAGGTTTTTCAAGAATTTCCTAGAAAAGGCCGATAAAATAAACAAGATCTATGAGGATAAGAAAAGGGATTAACTAGAAATAAAGAATACATTGTCTGAAATTTAAAAAAAATATATATTTCACAGAGTCCTAAAAACAGAATGGAAGATCGTAAGAATCAAGTCAAAGATTTGGAACATAAAGAGCCAGAAGACACTCCTCCGCAGAAGCAAGAAGACAAGAGAATCAAAAAAATTGAAGATAATGTAAGAAACCTCTGGGGAAACTTCAAGAGAACCAACATCAGAATTATGGGGTTCCCAGAAGAAGAGAGAGAGCAAGATACAAAAGAATACTGGAAGAAATAGTGACAGAAAACTTCCCCCACCTGGTGAAAGAAATAGACTTACAAGTCCAGGAAGTGCACAGAACCCCAAACAAAAGGAATCCAAAGAGGACCACACCAAGACACATCATAATTGAAATTCCAAGAGCAAAAGACAAAGAGAGAATATTAAAAGCAACAAGAGAAAAGCAGGTAGTTATCTATAAAGGAGCACCCATACGAGCTGATTTATCAACAGAAATCATGCAGGCCAGATGGGAATGGCAAGAAATATTAAAGGTGATGAATAGCAAGAACCTATACCCAAAAATACTCTACCCAGCAAAGCTATCATTCAGAATCGAAGGCCAGATAAAGAGCTACACAAATAAAATAAAAAAAGCTAAAGGAGTTTATCACTGCCAAACAAGAATTATATGAATTGCTGAAGGGGGTTATTTAGGAAAAGAAAGAAAATAAAGATAAAAATTATGAACAACAAATATGTAACTATCAACAACTGAATCTAAAAACCAAGAGAATTAAAAAAAAATCTGATGAACAATATTAACTGGTGAATATAATAAAATCAGAGGATGGAAGGGGAGTGAACTAACGATTCTCGGGGAAAAAGGGAGTGGGGGATGTGGGAAGAGACTGAACATAAACTGTGCACCTATGGATGAGGAGTTGGGAAAGGGCAGAGGGTGGGGTGGGAACCTGGTGGAGGGAAGTAATGGAGGGGGGGAAATGAGGAACATTTGTAATAATATGAACAATAAAGATTTATTTTTTTTAATCCATATAAATTTATGTCAATTGGAAATCTTGTAAAAATTAGTCAGGCCTAAGCAACTGGCTAAAGGATAATACTACCCCCACCATGAGCCCACAGTGCCCTCTGATTTCTGAGAATCTGACAAGCCATCTCCACTCTCACATTTCAAATTTAAATCAAGTGTTTTACAAAATACTTATATTTTGAAACAATCTCAAACTTATAGACAAATTACAAAAAAACTTTTTTTTGAATATTTGAGAGTAAGCTGCCTATAATGGTGCCCCATTACCAATAACTTCTTTATTTTACATTTTCTACAAACTAGTGTAGTCTCCTAAATAACTAATATGCAACCACTAAAATCAGGAAATTAACACTGATTCATTTACTTGCATTTTATCACCAGATAACATTCAAATTTCCCTAGTCATCCCCAAAGTGTCCTTTATTGCAAAACCAGAGGCCCGGTGCATGAAATTTATGCTGAGTGGGGATACGAGGGGGTGAGGGGGGCTCAGCCTGTCCTGCCCCCTCTCCAATCTAGGACCCCTCAAAAAGGATGTTCTGCTTCCAGTTTACAGGGATTGGGCCTAAATTGGCAGTCCGATATCCTTCTTGCAATCCAGGACTGCTGGCTCCTGCCTGCCTGTCTGATTGCCCCTAACCACTTAACCTGCATATCTGCTCACCCCCAAATTCCCTCCTGCCAGCCTGATCACCCACAACTGCCTCCCGTGCCAGTGTGCTCACCCCCAACTACCCCCCCCCCCTGCCAGCCTGCTTGCTGGCATGCTTGCAACCCCATCCCTCCTCATTGACCTGCTTGCTGCCCCTCGCTGTCCTGTGGACCTCCAACTGACCCCCACTGATGGTCTACTCACACCCAACTGCCCCCCATGCCAGCCTAATCACCCACAACTACTGTCCCATCCTGGCCTGATCACCCACAACTGCCCTCCCCTCTTGGTCTCTAATCGCCTCGACCTCAACCTTCCCACCATGGCTTTGTCCAGAAGACTGTCCAGAAGGTCTCCTGGAAAGCCTCCCAATGTAATTAGCATATTGCCCTTTTATTGGTATAGATCAAGGCCTGGTGCACAGGTGGGGGCCAGCTGGCTTGCGCTGAAAGGTGTCCTGGAGCAGGGTGGGGGTTCCTGTGGGATGTGGGGTGGCTTGGGCAAGGGGCCTGTGGTGGTTTGCAGGCTAGCCACGCTCCCTGGGGTGAGGGTCTTTGCTGGGGGTCATGGCCAGCCTGGGTGAGAGGCTGAGGGCTGTTTTCAAGCTGGTCACACCCCCTTCAGCGTGGGGGTTCCTGTTGGGGTGCCTGGTCAGCCTGGGCGAGGGGCTGATGGCTGTTTGCAGGCTGGCTACGCCTCCTGGCTGGGACTCTTACTCCATGGGGGCATGGCCACCCTGGGTAAAAGGCTGAGGGACATTTTTAGGCTGGCCATGCCCCCCTGCAACTCAGGCTCCGAGACCCTCCTTCAGCGGTGGCCAGAGCAGGTCGGAAGTTTGGCTTCCTCCATCACCAGGGGAAACACAAGCCACCTGTTTGCTCCAGCTCCAAGGCTGCCACCATCTTTGTTGGGTTAATTTGCATACTCACTCCTGATTGGCTGGTGGGCAAAGCACAGTGATGGTCAATTTGCATGGTTCTCTTTTATTAGTGTAGATTATTATAGAAGATCTAGTTCAAAACCATGTGTTTCCTTTAATTGCCATTTTCTCTTTTTTAACAGCTTTATTGAGATATAACTTGCATACCATACAATTTGTCAATAAAAGTATACAATTCAATAATTTTTGGTATATTCAGAATATGTACAACAATCATCACAGCCAATTTTAGGACATTTTCATCACCCTTTAGCTCTCATCTTCCATCCTCCTCCATGCCCACAGTTTAAGTAGTCACTAATTTACTTTTGCCTCTATAGGTTTGCCTATTTTAGACATCTTTATATATACACTAAAGGCCCAGTGTACAAAATTCGTGCAAGGGAGCGGGGGCGGGGGGGAGGATTATCCCTCAGCCCAACCCGCACCCTCTCCAATCTGGGACCCTTCAAGGGATGTCCGACTGCCCAATCCCACCAGGCTTAAATGGGCAGTTGGACACCCCTCTCACAATGCAGGACTGCTGGCTCCCAATTGTTTGCCTGCCTGCCTTCCTGATTGCCCCTAACCACTTCTACCTGCCAGCCTGATCACCCCCTAACCACTCCCATGCCAGTCTGATTGATGTCTAACTGCTCCCCTGCCATCCTATTTTCCCCCAACTCCCCTCATTTGCTGGCTTAGTCACCCCTAAGTGCCATCCCCTGCAGGATTGATGGCCCACAACTGTCCTCCCTTGCAGGCCTGATGCCTCTCAACTGCCCTTCTCTGCTGGCCATCTTGTGGTGGCCATTTTGTGTCCACATGGGGGCAACCATCTTTGACCACATGGGGGCAGCCATGTTGTGTGTTGGAGTGATGGTCAATCTGCATGTTACTCTTTTATTTGATAGGATATAGGCCTGGTGCACAGGTTGGGGCCAGCTGATTTGCCCTGAAGGGTGTCCCAGATCAGGGTGGGGATTCCTTTGGGGTGTGCGGTGGCTTGGGCAAGGGGTCTGTGGTGGTTTGCAGGCCAGCCATGCCCCCAGTGACCCAAAAGGAAACCCTGGTATCTGGAATTTATTTTCTACAATTGAAACTTTGTAGTCTGGAGTGGAGGCCAAAG